AAGAAGGAAAACCCAACTTGACGTCGCGATGGAAGTACGCATCACAGTATGTATCGGCATCCTACACAGATAAAAATTCGGAATTTTAATTGTGATGTAAACATTCATTCACGTAAACTTGTATTTCATCTCACGCAACCGAGCAACTTGCAAACAATGTTGTTAACAAAGATGGGATTTTGTATACAATATTTGCTACATTGCATGAAATGTGTCAGAACTTTACATGATATATAATGTAAACGTATATGATATGTGACGCTCCATTTATGTGCATCATATTGAACAGAAATTTACACTACTTCTTCGAACTGTGTATCCTTCCTTCTTTCAAAATCCCATGTCCATACCCAATCCATAAAAATTACAAATTTAAATCCAAACCCTGGTCTAATCACACTCCAAGAGGGATTTAGCTTTTTGAAGATAGGAGAACACAAACTCTTCCATACGATCAACTTAGATAATTATAACCCTATCTTCAGGAAGCTACGGATAAATATTAACGGAATTAACTCCTTTGGCAATTTTACCGAAATGACGGACCTCCTAAGCACAAAACTGAGCAATACCTTGCAACTATTCACTGAGCTACAGCCTAGATTTAGAACCAAGCGAGGACTGTTCAATTTTGTAGGGAGCGGAATTAAAGCTATCACTGGCAACCTTGATGAAAATGATTTAATTGAAATTTCAAAAAGTATTCAAGATTTATCTATGAACAATAAAATTCTTATAAACGAAAATAATGAGCAGAGGAAAATCAATTTTCAATTTCAAGACAGAATAAACAAAATAATCAATCAATTATCAAGAAAACAAACACAAATTAGTCAAAATTTGATACTAGCTAGAAATAATAACGCAGGAAAAAACTTTACTGTTTTTAAGGAAATTTTTAAAATACATTTCAACCTAGATTATTTAAAAGATCATTTAGAAGATATTTTTGAGTCAATTAAATTGGCAAAAGTAGGAATTCTGTCAAAAAACATTTTGTCACCCCAAGAATTAGATTTTGCAGCTAAGAAATTAGAAGAGAAGGGAGTTGTACTCACCAGTCTCGAAGAAACATATGATTATTTAGATTTATCAGCTTTTCATAATAATTCGAAGGTCATTTTTGTTATTTTGATCCCTCTGATAGAGGATTCTGTTTATGAAAAATACTATCTAGAACCATTGCCATTAGGAAATAAGATTCTAAAACTTCCGGAGACCCACGCCATGAGGAACGACAAGACTACTTTCATCATCATCAACAAATGCAAACGTATACAGAAATTATCTTTGTGCACCCGGGATAACGTACAAAATATTACCCAAGATAAATGTTTACCAAACCTACTTCAAGGACATTCAGCAAATTGCTCTTTTACAAATTGCAAGAACCCTACAGAAATTAAACTGATCACAGGAAATTTGCTAGTACTAAAGGAAGTCCAATCATTGGAAATCAAATCCACCTGTGGAATCACGAGCAGGAACCTAACGGGATCATATCTCATTGAATTCCACAATTGTTCACTGAGCACAAACGGATCAAAATTTGAGAATGCCGAATTTTTCCAAGCCGAGCCTCCAATAATGTTACCTTTGGATGGTCTCATAATTGCAGAAAGTAATTTCGAACCACTATTGAGGGTGAAAGAACTCGACATAATAAACAGACATGCGTTGGAGAATTTCACTAATCATCATGAAATTCGAACCATCACATCCCTAATCATGTCAACCATAAGTATCATGATTATCGTCATTATCATGACATACGTAGCTAGGAAAAAACTCAGCCGGAAGCTCAACAGTGTTGCTAGACAACAACCGTTAGATGCATCCACTATCCTCTACAAAAAATCCGACGGTCATTCAACCTCAGAAATTGAATCGGGACGATTCGAACTTGAAGGAGGGACGAGTTAAGTACAGCACTTTCCTGAAATCATACCAGAACCCAATTACAAGCAATTCAACAAATTCCGAGACACAGCAACGACACTATCGACAGGAACTTCAGTCGATATCAGCAATAATAAGACACAACGGCAACAACAACAACAACAACAACAACAACAACAACAACAACAACAACAGCAGAACTGCATCCTAATGCATAATCATATTTCTGTATATCAGCATTCCCATTCCTTTCCACGAGGCGACCATCCATCAGCGACACCGAGCCGGTTAGCAGCAGACGAAACATAGATAGCATATAAGTAATAATTCGCGCACTAGGCGTTTTCCATTAAACCCTTTTAGTATATAGCACATTGTAACTTTTTGCTTAAGAAGAATAAATTCATTCTAGTTCAGACCTTCAGTCGAGTAAGTTCGTAGTTCTAATTTTATTTTTAAAAACGCCCCCCGAAGGCCCGAACTAATAACTTTAGTATAAGTTCGTATTCATGGTTTCATATTAGCTCAGTTCAAATAATACGCCATGAGAACCTTTTTTTTTTACTTTCCTTGATTTGTTTTCCGTCGATCTTATTTTCCGTACTAAGCACCAATGCTACCGACGCCAGGGAGGCAGCTCCCATACCTGGACCCTACCTATCGACCCATCAACTCATGAACCGGGGACCAACGGCGTGATCAGAGATGTTATGCCTCAGAACATCTCGGCGGCGCCGACTGGGATTGAACCCAGGCTTGCTGGGGTGAGAGGTAATCACGCGTACCACTACACCACCGGCGCCGCTATGAGAACTTTTCTGCAAGAACTCCGAAAATTATGTGCCTCTTTTGGAACAGTTGCAGAGCTTAGGAGCCTCTCAAGATCTTGTAACGGAGGCAGCTAGTGGTCTGTTGTTGCAACTTTAAAAAGAAGAGGTCAAGCAATGTTTTCATATCTTGAGAATCTTTCACAAAAGATTCAAAAATCTTCAGCTTTCACTTCACGGATACAGTTGAGCAGATTTTAATAAGTCATGCAAAGTGTGAAAACTTCTTTAGAACTGGAGAACTTAATTTTCATACATACAAAACAACGAGTGGATTGTACTCTGATCATCTGAATCAAACCTCAAAATTATTAGGATCTCTTCCGTAAAAATTGAGGCTCTGGACGAAATATCAACTTATTCCTTACTTAACACTTGTCACTGAACAGTTGGGGTTACATGTATGTAACTTATTTCAGTCACTATCAAGTTGTAGTAACTTATTATGATGTACGTGTGTTGCTTGGGTAAGTGTGCCCGTTTTGGCACTATTGCTCCAGTTTTTGGCCCAAGGGTTGATATGAAATTAGACATTTTTTCGTGATATATGTACCGGTTGTGTAATATGAATTTACATTAAGCATAAACCCGAATGTGATTAAGCCGAAGTGCAGAGCCATATTCAGAATATTTTTAGGTGGTGAACTCTCAAGATTGTGCAGAATTTTCCTGAAGTTTGTAGAACTTCCCTTCGATTTTCATGATTTTCTTGGTCTAGGGACCAAAGGCACTATTGCATGTTATATTTTCTCTTGAAAATTTGAACTTTCTTACATAACATATAACATTTGAAATTGCTGCTTCATGTATGCTGCAGTGCATCAAACGTGGAGTAACAATTTAAATGTTGCACGTGCCGTAGAAGCTGATATTTGTGCACTTAAAGTTTCGAAGGATGTCACAGCGAATCACCTTAAAAGCACGTATACATGTACTCAGAGGGTTGTGTGTCCATAGCTTGTTATATGATGAAGTACGTAAAGCGCATCATGAGTACGAAGTGAACGAGATGGAGCGTTGAAGTTGATTAGCTGACGCCTCGACTGACCCAGAGTAGGGCAATCGATACGATCCGTAAGAATGTCGAAAATGAAGTTTCAAGTGTATGGCACACAGTGTCTCCAGGTCAAGTAATAAGCAACGTGAGGTATAAGGTGGCAGGTGTGTTTAATCGTTCCATGGTAGGTGACGGAGAGCAAATCGAATGAAATATTTCTGAACTCACTCTAATTTGCTGACTTGTTTAGATTGATACGGTGCCCATACAGGTGCGACGTATTCAAGTATTCAAGTATGCTTCGTACCAATGAGTAAAAAAAAACTGTCTACGTAATTAAAGAACAGCCCCTAAGCCACGAATAGAGTCTACGCGTTCGAGAGTGGTAGGGCCGATCTTATAGCTAATCACAGACAAACAGACGTAGCTCTTCATTCTGGATCACCGTTTACGCATTTAACGATTGGTTTGAATGCGAACTACTCGCCGCAGCGCTGGCATCGGATCACTTTGACGTTTCTATATATTCGGTGTTTCTTGCAAGCAACATTGTTTGCGAATCAGTGAGCAAGCATGTTTTCCGCGAGAAGCCCACGAGATGTCGTTACTGCAGTCCTATGTCTATTTAGTTTTGTATAATCTTTGTAATTTTTCCGCCCCCAAGAATTTTTTGGTAGCAAATACCACCTTCGCCATCTGCTGAGTACGATGCTGCCGGATCACTTTGGGCTTAATGAGTCATTAGTAAGACAGTGTAATTTTTCCTGGATATTGAATGTGGCCCTACGTTAGAAGTCTTCAAAATTTGCCCATGTTTAAACTAACTTCAAAGTGATCAAATAATTTACGATAAAAAACAGACTCTTTCAATTAATCAAAACGGTTTTAATTTAAGGTGGGCGGAGTCTAAGTCAAGGTGCCCACTGATGTGGCGGGGGTGTGGCATCTGCTAGCATATCATGTTGTATGATGCCACACCAGTGGGCGCCTGACCTAAGTCGCCAACCTGGTTGCAGTGGGTGTGGGAAAGTCGGACAAATGTCGCGTTTATTTTCAATCGGTTGGCCAACACGTTGACGTACAAGTCGAATAGCAGATTGGATTGTGTGTGGTTCAGGTGCGAAATGTTTGCTCGGCTGACGAATTTGTTGAAAGGAGATCCGACTATCCGACAACCAGTCGAAGACCCAAGTTTACAACCAGGTTACAGTATGTATGGGCTGCATTATGGATTATGCGAGAAGATCGTGTCTGATTTATTCCAACAGCCTACTTACCATCGCCACTGGAAAAGTCTTCGTAATGATCACTGTCGTCGGAATATCCTTCGTCATGCGAAAAATCAGGCGCCTCCGGACTGAGAATACTGCCAGTGCTGAGAGACGAGGTCGATCCTGCTTCAGCCAAACTTCCCGTGGACAGTAAATGCGGCCGTGGTTCACGTCGCTGCCACATCATTACGTCCATTCCGATGTGGGTCGGTGCCGAAGAGGACAATCGTGACATGGTGCCACCGCTCGTACCACCGCCACTTCCTGCACCACCAATTCCCGAATGACTAGAACCGGCCTGGGCGTGCATATGATGCATCATCCTACGTCCGCTAAATCCGCCTGGGCTAATGGAGGCTCCACTCATTAGCCCGGAGGAACTTCCTGGCACCGATTGTCCTAGCATCAGACCACTCCTATCTGCAGTATTGCTCATCAGCAGCTGTTGCAATGTGGAATACTTTGGGTTGTACTGCACTTGACCGACGTTGCCTTGGTTCCTGCTGATATTGTTGTTCGTTGCATTTTGGTTATTTGCCTTCTCTGTGGTATCCATCTTGATCAGATGGTTATTGTTATTCATAGCATTCATTTGGAGCTGCTGCTGAAGTCTATTCGGCAATGGAGGAGTTTGCGCCTGAGAGTATCCCAGAGACGGGCTGGAGCTGTGGCTGCCAGGGGAAAAAGTTGCTGGCGAGTTGATGTTGGTATTGGTAGCATAAGGTGAAGTAGAAATTCGAGTTTGTTCGTCGTAGAGTTCGCACATATTTGGAACCTGTAGGTCATTTGTTTGCTGCATGTTGTTCCCAATTGTCATTAGCATATTATTATTTGCATTTGAGTTATGATTGGAACGCAGAATTTGCTGTGGTAGGCTGGGCGATAAGTGAAATGCACTGCCACTGCCACTGTCACCGCTGAGGTTCGGCGAAGGTTGACTCAGAGGAGCATTTAACAGCATAAGATCTTCATGCAGCAAATCGGTAGCAAAAATATCCCCAAGCGTTGCATCGCTAATGAGCTCATCCTTATCAAGATGATAAATGTCATCCTCGTCCATGTGAAATTGACCTTGCTGGCCATTCATGTTTGTAGCAGACGAAACCGTTGATGATGGAGAAACGATTTGTCCAAACGAGTCGGTATTCCAGATTTCGGTATTCCCGAAACCATTCATATTGATTGTGCCGATCTGGATTCCTTCAGCGACTAGACCGCCATCCGAGATGTTCTGCAGAGTAAATATCGTATCGATCGGGGTTGATGCACTTAGGTTGGAATTGGTGGAAGTGGTAATGAAGCTGATGTCCTGCAGCATATGCGGAGAGTGGGACTGTTCAATTTCGAAGACGTAATCGGACATGTCAGTGATCATTCGTTGGTGAATGTTGCGCGATGGTATTGGAACTGATGCCGTAGTCAGGATCGGATTGTTGCTCAGTGCATCCATCATGGATGCGGTGCTCGGGGACGGACTGGGTGAAGCAGACTCAAGTTTGATGGTGTTGCTACTGCTCAGACTGGACTGATCATAAAACTCCGAGATGGTGGAGAAGCCGACATTAGAGCCTTGAGCGTTTCCGATGCCGCTCATATCCAGATTTGTGACGGAACACTACCAATGACCGTTCGTTCAGTCGGGTGTATGATCTGAAATAGAAGAAAGAAGAAAGGATTGTTGAAAATCATGAACATTTTTCAAACGTGTAAAAATGTTATATAATAGGCCTAAAAACTTGGCCACTCAAAATTTCGCTCGGCGAGGTATGGGACACAAATATTAAAATGCTTGAATTTTTCAAATACAACTTTTATTTTCGATGATTCTACTAGGGATAAAAACTCAAAGGCTACACAGAAAAAAAAGTTCTATATTTTAACCAACGCATAAAATCAACCCTCGTTTAATATTGTGCTATAATAGGCATAAATATCCAAATTGTTTACAAGCCTGTATACAACATTGCAGATTTATTTGAAATTTTGCTTAAGGGGGTATTCCCGATCTTTTTTTTTCAAAAAATCAAATTTTTTTTTCACGTTTTTTTTGTACTTTAGACTATATACTTTCATCCCCCCAAGCCGTTTTCCGATCAGCGAATTCGGTGTCCAGGCATAGCTGACTAATGGTAAGAACCCCCAAATGGTTTTAACTAAAGTCAAAACTTTAAACGCGTTTTTCTCGAAACCACATTTTTTTTATCGGGCGAAGATTTTTCTCAGAAACTATAAGAGATATTGACTTGAATCTTTGCGCATTTTGTTCCTTATTAAATTCTTTGGAGCTTCTCCCACTTTCAGCCAAAAATATTAACATTTAACATTGTTTGAAGCACCTTAAAGTTGCAAAAAAGCGGGCTCAAAATCGCCTGTTTTTTCATATGGCCGCCATTTTGTTAATTTGCAAGATTTTTTGCTGCCAACGGGAGAAGCTCCAGAGAATCTTATGCAGATTATTAATTTCATCACGAAATCTGTTTCAGATGAAGCCGTTCCAGATGAAGCCGTTCCAGAGAAAAGTCTTCGCCCGTCCAGGCGTTTGCGGCGAACAGGGGTCTGTTTGTCGCCATTTTGTGACGTCAATAATGTCTTTTTTTATGTCGAAAAAAATTTATTTGTAAACTTTAATGTTCAATAAACAAGAATCCCAAAGAGTTAGGCGCATTACTATTCATTTTCCTTGAAAAAAAAATTAATTGAAAAACAGGCCGAAAAAAGGCAAAAGATTGGGAATACCCCCTTAAATTCACATAAAACAATCGTGTTAAGCTTGCGCCAAATCTAGCGTTAATTACGTGAGCGCTATGTATAGCAGACATTTCCATGAATTTTTTATACGGTGTACTTAATAGACGTTACTTTTTAATATTCGAAATTAAAAAAAAATCATGTGAGTGGTTCAGATAGGTGTATCCTCCTCAGAAACAATCAAAATAATTTAAAGTATTGTGCATTTTGCACCAAAGTAGACTGCTGCGCTGAAAATAATCCCTCCGAAGTTTTTCCGCTCAGGCAAGTAAAAGTAAAATATCAAAATTTTGAATGCAATAAACCCCTCCCCTTGGCTAATTTTTGCACCTTGTAGCTGGTGGTCGGGCTTTATTTCATGATTTATAGTGGAGTGTTAGGGATGGTAGGTTTAAGGCCGGCGTTGCTGGCTCATTCCGTGATAGAATGGCACCATGGGCAGGCGGTGGGGATTAATAAGCTTCCCCTCTCTGATGAACAACTGCATGAGAGAGCCAAAGATCTAGTCTAGCAGTGATAGTATCGCACTTGTTACTCCTTTGTTTGAGTGCCACGTTGTAGTACGCTTACGTATAGGCACTGACGTTGGTTGCGATACTGGCAGGCAGGGTTGCTTCCACTCACTTGCTATAAAAAAATATTTTTCGGAATTATGCAATCATAAGATGTTATAATGATATGTTGTATTTGTAAGTAACAAGAAGAGGGTGTAAAGTATGTGTTTGAAACCTGCCAATTTCGAGTCGTAAAATCGCTGATTGTGACGCACTGAAAGTAATATTGACAGATTTTATGTGTCAAATATATACTTCATGACCTTTTCTTGTAACTTACAAGTACTAATTAGCATTATACTATTTCATGATTTCATAATTCCGAAAAACATTTTTTTATAGCAAGTGAGTGGAAGTAACCCTGCTGGCAGGTTTTTCCGTAAATCACTCTTATTTTATTTATTTTTATGCAGATAGATTTATTTTAGTTTACAAGGAAATTATACTATTGAAATATTTCAAAAAGTGCTCAGTATTGCCGAAGCCAACTTTTCCCTTATATACTTCATTTTGATTTTTTTTTCCTTTGATTTGTTTTCCGTCTATCTTGTTTTCCGTGCTGAGCACCAATGCTACCGAAGCCAGGGAGGCAGTTCCCACACCTGGACCCTACCTATCGACCCATCAACTCATGAACCGGGAGCAACGACTTCCCTTCCGGTGGAAATTAACAAAATAACTAGGATGCGGGATTTTTAAAAGTATCGTGATCTGTATAAAGTTCTGTCCAGTTAGAATCCGTAATCACTTATTGTTTTGCAGCGGCACGGAAAGGGACCGCTGCAAGAATTATTTTACAGCGGTTTATTTACCTAAGCGCCCACTTTCTGTGGTATAAATTTCATGGTGTTTCGTGCAGTGAGTCAAAAATTATTCCAGATGCAAGCCGAGAGGAGAGAAAAGATTCTGCACACCCACGTTGATAATCCAACGTGGTCCGCAATAAAAATCGCAAAAACGTTGTAAATCGCCAAATCACCGTGTATGATGTGCTCAAACGTTTCAGGGAGCGAAAGAGCGTGGATCGAGTGCCTCAAGGTTAGCGTCGTAATGGAACAAATGACCGCAAGCTGAACCAGAAGGTGTTGAGAACCGTCAGAGCAAACCCTGGACTATCAGATAATGAAATCGCACAAGAATACGCTGCTGCTCGCAGTACCGTTCGAAGAATTCGTTTGCGAGCAGGATATCGTTCTTATCGAGCCAGCAAGCAACCAAACAGAACGTTGAAGCAAAGTTTCGTCACCAAAACTCGAGCTCGGAAATTTTACCAGCAGGTTTTGACGAAGTACCAAGGATGCCTGCTCATCGACAATGAAACCTACGTCAAAATGGATTTCAGACAGCTTCCTGGCCAAAAATTCTACATGGCGATGGCACGAGGAGATGTTCCTGCGAAGTTTAAGTTTGCTTTTGTAGACAAATTTGCCAAAAAACTGATGATTAGGCAAGGGATATGTAGCTGCGGAGCAAAGACCAAAGTGTTCGTGGCGAATAAGACGTTGGACTCGAAGCTGTACAAGGAAGAATGCCTCAAAAACCACGTACTACCTTTCATTAAAGCCCATAAAGGTCCCGTGATGTTTTGGCCAGATTTGGCGAGTTGCCACAACAGCCGGGAAGTCATCCAGTGGTACCGCGATAATAACGTAGATTTCATCGATAAAAACATAAATCCACCCAACTGCCTACAGTTCCAGCCAATCGAGAGATTTTGGGCAATAATGAAGCGGAAGCATAAGAAAAGTGGAAAAACGGCTCGGGACGCGATTCAGATGACCAAAATGTGGAACAAATGTGCCAAGGAAGGAGGGATGGGAGGAATAAAGAAGAAAGTGTGAATTTTCATTAGAAACGAAGATAAATGATTTGTTTTGATATTTTTTCCCAAAAAGTACAGTGTTGTTTACCTTGTACCTTTGTTTTGATGTATTAACCTTATTTGTACGTCAATCCGTTACCGAGATACAGATGATTTTATTATTCCGGATTCTAAATGGACATAGCTTTAGTACTAATATAAATCTTAAAAAAAAACAAATAAAATCCTAAACATCAACGAATTAAAAATATCTCCAAATGACAAAATGGCAAGCGATCAACGAACCGAATGATAACGCTATGTTCAAGTGGAACGCAATAATGATATAATTTTCTTTTTTTTTCATGACAAGCAGCCCGTGCGACACAGCTCACTCGCGGCGGTAGAAGGAAACACGAGCAAATTGTTGACAAGCTGCTTCACGAAGTAAAGCAGAAGATGATACACGTGTGCTAATGGGAATTTTTTTGTTATGTCTTTTCTCGATTCTGATCAAGCTATGTCCTCATCCGTGTATATTGCAACCAAGCAGGCAAGCAATACATCATTATCCTTCTACCACTCTGATCGAGCTATGTAAAAAAAAAAGGATTGATTTTTTTCCACAATATGAAACTGAGAAAAATAGTCAAACTGTGGGATTTTGAAAAATTTTCAGATCTCTGATGTAGAAAAAATTTCAAGATTCCAGATTTGAAAAAATACAGTCGCTGGAAAATTGTGTGGCAATGGAAAATGTTCAGGGTTCTAATAAGAAGATATTTTATAGAACTTTGAAAATTCAAAATTCTCAGAATAACTTGAAGAAAAATTCAATGGAGCTCAGACAAGAATCCTAAATAAATTCTAGGATTAAGTCCTAACGAACTCTTAGAAGAATGACAAGGGAGTTGTTGGAGAACTTCAAGGATAATTCCTTGGTTATTCTGAAATTTATGCGGATTGTGAGGAGAATAGTAGGTGAATTTAAAAAGAAATATAAACAGAATTTAAAGGGTTTTCTGATTTACAAGACAACTTTGAACAAGATCAAAAAAAAATGCCGAAGGAATCGTGTTCTGAGGAAAATTAAGAAAAATGCTGAAAAAATTAAACTAAATTCTTAAGAAAGTTTCACGAAAATTCAGCACAGAATTTCAAGGTATTCTGAGGAGGAATCCAAAAGATTTCAGAGGGGAGTTTTGCAAAAGGTCAACTAATTTCAAAGGTTTAAGATAATTAAGAGCTGAATAAACCATTTTTGAGCTAAAGAAACATATGTTTGCTTGATTATTCTGTTATTCAACTTATAATTGTTGTTGGAATATGTTAAAATTGATTGATTTTTCCCGGTTCTTCCGTCAAACTCTCTGCTTTTCCCGGCTTCTTTTCAAATTCCCGGTTATTTCCCGATTTTCCCGGTTCTCTGGCCACCATGTGTCAGTGATCATTCGTTGGTGGCCGTTGCGCGATGGTATTGGAACTGATGCCGTAGTCAGGATTGGATTGTTGCTCAGTGCATCCATTAAGTTGAATGGTGTTGGTACTATCAGAAATAAGTCTGCTGGAATA